TCAACTGAGATAGAAGCAGTCACGGGAAACCTCGACAGCCAAGGAGTCCCTACTCAATACATAAAGATTCTTCGTGAGTTGTACAAAAATTTCACAACCAATCTATCACCATTCTACAACGATATTAACATCGACGTCAAAAGAGGGGTTAAGCAAGGCGATACCATCTCGCCAAAATTATTCACCACCACCTTCGAGGACGTCATGAGAACATTGGAGTGAGATAATATGGGGTGAAATTCGATGGTGGGCAGTTACACCATCTTCGCTTTGCTGATGAGATCGTGCTTATAACAACAAACATTAGCCAAGCGGAACGCATGCCTGCCGATTTTGATAAAGCCTGTGGATAGATTGGTCTTCGATTAAACCTCGCTAATCATTGATTGTTGATATGGGATACCAGAAGCACCGTCCTCTCGATTGCGCTCTTCATACTTGATACTCGATACTTGCACGGCCCATCCTCACTAGTTGTGCGGGCCCCAGCATAATCACCATTTTCCAGAGATTTGCTGGTTAAGTCACTGTGGTTCCCTGAAATTCCAAGAACAACCTGGCCAAAGTCTGCCCCAGGTCGCTACCACAACAGGCAGTCGCAGCCCTTGTGGATCAGAGGGAAATTTGCCACCATGCGACTTTGATACCAGGACGGTGGTGGATCTTGATATTGGTTTACTCCTAGCTAGGCTTTCTGATGGAAACGCCGGATTCCTTCTCAGCTTGGGAGATCCTGCCGGGGGGACGAATCCCCCGCTGAACATCGCAGTCCGACACCCAGGAACACCTCCCAGCCACGATGAGGCGGTAAACCGTTGAGTGGTCCTTAAAAGTGAGAGTTTCGAAATCAATCGGAATTGCATGAAATAATCTCCTAGAAAATTTATTCCGCTTCAGTAATCAGAATAGCAAACACTGGAAAAAGAAATATGGAACTTCCTGTTTTCCGTATCCCTTGCAACAACTGCTAAAAACTGACCTGATAAATTGACGGATTCCTCACAACGCGGAGTAATTCTTCATCCTGATTACGTAGCGACCAGGTTCCCCACAAGTTCAAATTTTCTTCCTTTCTGATTTCGGTTAGTTTGAAACAAAGCTTCATGTTCATCATTTTTTATGCACTGCACAGGCTAACAACTAAATTTTGTAAGCTTGAAAGGACACTGAATAACACTATGCACTCCGATTTAACATTCATGGATAGTGAAGCTGAGGAAAGTGAATAAGGTGACAGAGAAAATGAGGTGAAACGCTAGTGATAACAGAATGTAGCGCCTCACGACCTCTGAAATCTTCGGTTACCGCAGACTAAGAACGGAACGATAGCTTGTGTTGCACAGGACCACACTTGTGTACAAGATTTTTGGCTGGCATTTGATACCCACTTGTTGAAAAGACGAAATACAATAGAAATACAGTCAAAGTTGGATCATTACTAGAGAGCTTACTACAGAATAATGTGGATTTGATCATTACTCGCAGATGAGGCAGAAAACACCACCAAGTAAAAACTGAGTATACTTGAAGTCCCAAGGATAATAGGTGCTCAAATGCAGAAACTATAAAAGCACTTGTATGACAACCACGTGACCTTACTTGCCTATTCACTCCTATCATCAAGACTGTAAGTAATTAATCCTACAGCAGGATACATATCAAGTGAGCTCAGGATAGGAACAGGCGGAACACTTATCCTCCACGTTTTTTGGAAGTGTTTTCCTGTTGTTCATACTTTCGTCCTTCTTTGTAGTTTAGTTGCATAGTTCCTTGCGAGAACTACAAATAGAGATGGGACCGTGCTGGAACGCTTGTATACTACGTATATTAAGTGTATGACATAACTATTTTCTGGTCACGTTAAGTATTGCATTAATAGAAAAGCTACCATTTTGATATTAAAAAAACCACGAAGGAAATTTGTGCTTTAAGCAATTCAGAATAATATGAACAATGCATCACATTTTGCCAATGCTGTCCATTCCCACACGCATCATATTCGACTCACATGGTCATGAATTTACCATATGGGCCATTTAGTCATACATGGTAGGGAAGACGAAGTGAAGAAACATGGTCTTACACCAAAATACGGAATGATCCTTTATATATGGCAGACTATATCAGACCTAACTCCCTACACCACCTTAGTACCATAGAAAGCAAGTACTGAGGTAAATTACCTCTACAGCTACGGTAAACTTATCCTTAACATTAGCCCTTCCTACAAAAAGAAATCAAGTATTTCCAATGTGTACATATTACATTATTTCCTAATTCAAAACAATTACAATAAAGCACAGGTACTTCCAATGTTCATTTGAAGTAACAAACACTTTCTAGTGGTCAAAATAACCGAACTGAAAGGTGAAAAGAGTGCATAAAAAAAGGATAAGAGCTATTAGCCCATTTCACACGACTCCGCTATACCCGCTTATATCCTCCGAATAACTCAAAAACAGCTTCAGACAACATAAGGCAAGCAATCTATTGAAGCTCTAGAAAACAAAAAATAAAAATCAACAAAAACATTACATGTCTAACAATTGTAATTGTTATCTCATAGAATATAGAAGAACTCTGGAACAAATCAGTTCCTCTCCGGCATCTGATTAACGGCCGATATCGATAATTTTGCCTGAAATTTAAAACAACTTCAAAGCAACCTTGCTTCATTGATGCAATGAAGCAAAGGATGTAGGCCAATTAATAAAACAATGGATGTATCTTCACCTACAATAGACCTAAAAATGACCTGCATGACGTAAGAGTCTGAAAACATGACCTAAGATTTAGGAAACCGAGAGAGTAACCTTGCAATTCCTATACAGCTGGCTAGGGTCAGCTCAAATTATCGCTAATTCTTGAAATTAACCCTAAAACCTTGCTAACAAGCATTCAAGATCACTGACTTCAGCGTCTGCAAAACATAACCATTGAAACAAGGAAGGGACAGTAATAGGAGACCAATTAGTCCAAAACGGAATGATACATGTTAACTGTGATTACTGTTCCCACGTGAATACTAACTTGCTTCATTTTCAGTGAATTTAAGAAGAGTTAGATTACTTCTCTTTGAAGGAATTGGCTGTTTAAATTACCCAGGCTTAATGCGAGTCCGTGTAGATAAACTAAACTCCTAACCAACATAAACTATAAGTTAGTAAGCTTAGGAATTGCCGCAAATAAACTTTACTCCCATGTTATTCACGAAACTGCACTTCTTGTAAACAAACACTGGTAGCTTACCTTGACCGTACTTCCGCACTTTTTCTGGCAGCTATCATGATCTTCATATTTTAGCATGTCAAACAGAGGCGTCGTACAGCCAGGAGGAACTTCAGCTCCCAACAGCTTCTGTTTCAAAACTTGCCTAAACAGGATAAGAACGAGATCTACCACATAAAAAGAGTAAAAGATAAGCTCCTGGTGTTGATCAGTTCCTGAGGGTTGCGCCATGCGTTCGACTTCATTAAGCATTATTGGAAGTGATTGAATGCATATCTAGCATTTGCAATGACTCGCAATGGCCTACCAATGTACCAAACCAGTGCTGCTATCCTTCAGACAAGTCTGGTACCAATTTGCCGACCCCGGAGCGATGGGAGGTTTGGTGAGTCTTGGGCGCGGGGATCGATCCCGTGTGCATTGCACGCGCATCCGACTACTGCGCTACGCGCTCCTATATCTACCATATATTTCAAAATAGTTACCAATTCTCGGCCCAAAATACAGCGAATTAGAAATCAATCTTCCGGAAACAGGAAAAAAGACGATAACTCTGTACCACATGGAAACCAAGAAACCAATTCTAACACGGTACTCACCCAATTCGTATATTCCCTTCTTCGGCATTTGAGTCCTTTGTCCACATACTGATCTGAACAAGAAAATTACTAGTTATATCCTTACAGAAAGTAATTTCATCTACAGACCTTGCTGCCTTTACCGCGTACGTTACAAACGAGACCACAGATAAGATCCATATCGTCGCCAAACTGCTCGCCTATCATTGCGATGAGAATCTCCAGCCAAATCAAGTCCATAATTTCACCCGGCTTTCCCTTCTCAATCTAAATCACGCTTTTCATTCAGTAAGTTCTCCTAAATCAGGTTGATCAACTTAAAGCATCTTTCGAAATGATTATGTTGTTAATTTATGCACATCTAAAACAAATAACAAGATTAAAAACAAAACCGACTCACATTGATAAGCCAACGGCCGCCTTTGAGATTCTCAGGCACTTCCCACATAGGTGGGATGCCACACTTGAAAACACTGTAGTCACAAAGACAGTTCAGACCAGATGGAGGCCGAATGTTGTTATAAAGACTGAAAATCCTCAACAGATCGCATATGAAAGTGTTGAAGTAAAAAGCAAGACTACTGAGATACTGAGAAATCAGTCCTTATTTTTGCGAATAGATCAGCAAACGTAAGCTACTTACGCCCAAAACTCTTCCACAGTGCTAAATGTACAGACAGGCTTGAGGCGATCTTCCCAGCTCGCTTGTCGGTCGTCGTTCAAATACCAATAGGTCCACTTATGCTTTAGAGGATGAAGAGCCTGAAGTAGAACGAAAAGCATTCTGAGTAGAAAAAAACCCACTTACTACCATCTTCCCCATTGATCTCATGGGAAGCGAACTACGATCGTCCCTAACAAATTAGTCCTGAATCTTTTCCGGTAGAGGTTAACCTAACTATATTTACATTATCCCTTTTATTTGATCGTGCAACTGGTTAAGGCAACTGATCCGTGGGTCTGATCAAAAATAGAAATGAAGCAACATATTGGAAGTGTGACAGGAAGAAAAGTGTATCTGCTATAAGCGTATATAAGAAGAGAACACTGGTTTGGAACTACAGCGCAACAGGTATCAAGTACTACCTTACTAGCGCCTAGTAAACCCTTTCTATAATGAACTGGACTATTGACTATATCGGTGGCACGTCCATTGCTACTGTTAGCAAGAACTTCTTGCTATGAAAAACAAATGGAGGGATTCGTCAACATTCAAGAAATCAGCATCATTACCAGCGGCTCGGGTCCAGCGACATTCTCTTCTTCATCTTTCTGCACGTCCTCGATCACTTCATCTCCAATATCCTGTTCTTTCCGTTCATTATCAGCCATCTGAATTCACTGGTCAGGGGCTAAAGGGAGAAGGAACGAAACAACGAGACAAGCGGACACAGCGGTAGACGTCAATGACTCAATACAAACAAACTTAGAGAATTTAGAAAGATGACACCTTATGAGGATAGGGCTTAACTTACAAACAACAGAAACACACTGAAGAACAACAAACCGTTTAACCCGTAGGTAAACGTTGGGCGAACAACTCACGACAAATGGGCCTATCGATTAGAGCAAAAAAGTTGATTGGAGCGCCATATCATATATTGGTTTAACATATTAAGTAGGCATTGGTTCAACATATCCGTGACGAACTGCTTATTCGACAACAGACAGTAATTTCTTTATTAATAAAGTACTGAATGAGTTGACAACTTTACCGACTTAAGACATATACCTTATTCTATCGCCATAGAAGAATATATACATTTAGCTTTGCAAAGTATTCTCTCAATTTTCAGTGAGTTTAAAGTAGAAATTTCTAAAGGTTGAGAAAGAAATCTAACTCGCTATTTACTTGATTAGCACATGCTGTTGATATACAACAATGATGCTGGGATATTTGCAAAACTCTGGAAGAAAGTTAACATTGTGATTTCGACTACAGCCTCAGCTTGCTTGACTGGGTTCATTGCCGCTTTGTGCTCCCCAGATCAATCCCCTTTACGGATAATTGCTGATGGCACTGGTAGATAGAAAACTAGCTGAGAGAAGACCGAAGCGAAGGACCCGCATGATGTGGTGGTGAACGCGTTGGCACCCGGAAGGAGTGATAGCATGTTCGATCCCCAGGGCAGACATTTGCGGTACGAAGCTTTGCAAATATCTCAACATCATTGTCATTGAATTTCATATAATACCTTGCCGTGAAAAATTGTAATGGGCGGTAAATAAAAGAAGAATTAACGTTGTTGTTATATACATTAAGGTATTAAGTAATTTGAAATACTAAAATCTCCATGCCAGGCCTGGCAGGGGTCATCGACTCGTTGGAGGACACCGGGATGTCCTGCTACGAGATTTCATCTGTTCAGTCAATCTCGTGCACGAAATTCGACATTCCGTGGGCTTCATGGGGCCTCCATCTTAGTGGAATGGAAGGACTTGTAAGCAATAGCTTGTAGACTTTAATGGTCCTTGTTTCAGCTAATGCACAGCGACCGATATGCATTGAGTTCAATGCGTTCGGTTTGTAAACAACGACAATAGGTTCAGTTTGACCGAAGCAAAGGAAAAACGCTGTTTCATAAGCACAGCTGATGAAGAAGTGTGGCGAATCTCTTCATGAATTTAATGAACACATTCGTTGTTCGTTTCGCTCAACAAATGCATCTATAGATTGTCTTACTGGCATGACAGTGCGCGTGACATTTCCGAGTTTTTTTTTTCTTTTGCAATAAAGATTTATATAAGCCTCGGATTAGGTTTACCCTATTTTGAACGACAACGTGGACAATTCCCAGGAGACGAAATCAGCTTCACATGAAAGAAGATCACATCACAGGCAGCAAGTTCTATAGCAGTTAAATCCGTTAAGCGGTAGCTAAACGCTGAACGCGATAGCTAGCACTTTATTCCTTCGTGCTGTTACAGTTAACGGAACTTGCATAGGGAGTGGCTGTTATGTGAAGCAAAAACGGCATATTGGAGTGTAGTAGCTAAAAATGACAGCAAAAGCACTCAGATTTGGAACGTTTTTACGAAACTATGTCCTTTTCTCGATACGAATCGATGTCCTGGATTGTTTGCTTAAGTCGATGGGATGGGAATGTTTGCTATAGGATCAATGGATTTCATCTGTTCGCATCGATCATGCTGTGAAGAGAGAATGTCGTTCATGCAATTTGTCCTTGACGATGGCGCCAGCAAGAGAAATAGAACAAACAGAACTATTGGTAGTTTAGGTTAGGATTTCCTCTATCGGATTAGGGAGCTTGAACTGATCCAATGTACATGTTGTACGGGAGGCCGTTCTCCAGTGTTTCTTCTACATCTCATATTCTTTTTCTATTCAAGCACTGACATAAATTATCGAGTTCGTGGATAACTAACACATCCATAATATGACTTAATGTTTCACTGTTTCACCAAAACTTTCGGTTCTTGAGAATCTCAATTACCCGATTGTTCAGTCGTGATAAATCTTGTAAAAATAGAAGTCTTCTTATAAAAAAGGATAAAATTTCATGCATTTCACTAATTTTGCAAAGTTTCTGGTGAATACTTGTGCACTGACAGTGGTGAGAAGAAACAGGAGAACTTTCGAGTGACGCCTATAGCGCGACTTCAAGGCCCAAAATTGTCGGTCGTTGTGCAAACCTTCTCCTACATGTTAGCACTGAGAAGGGATCGTACGATCGCATTGCTTTCCCAAGACATCGGACCAGCTAACAAGTTCGAATAGCTGGAATTTGGTGTTTGGGAATCGGTGGTGACTCGAACCGGGCGGTTCGTCATGTCAGCGACGGATGCAGGCACTGCACCATCGGGCACCTACGGACGTGCGCTAGCATTTTTCGCCGCGAGTGAAGCGACGACTACGGCAAATGTTTCCACTAAGAATGTCTCAGTTCTAAGGTTGTACTTATCATAGACATTTTAGAATGTCATATTATAAGAATTGAAGTCACAGAATCATTTATTGGTACTGTAGAACACCGTTTATTCATTGGCAAATCTAGAAATTGCATGAGACGAATCGATGTGGACCTATCAGAAATCTTCAAATGTTGCAACAGTGAAAAGTGTACAAAGATGGTAATTAGTCAATAGAGAGCACTCGTTAAAAGTAACCCGACGATCAAACATGTTCGAAGAAGAAACCACTGGCAGAAATGTGGCTAAACACGAATGCCATTAGAAAATAATAGCACAGCAATTTACAAATACTAAATGTGGAAGTAATCTGACGATAGTGATTGTTGGTAGCCCGACAACTGTGGCGATAGGCCTGGCGGTCTTGTGGGTACCATGGGCGGTGGGTCAAAAACCGGAGATGTTATACAGCTATCAAACCCGTCAGCGAATTTTGACTCTAACCATGGGGTAGAGCTTCCATATATGAGGCCCAGTGGCTGACTAGGAGGAAGTATCGGTGGTTTCGGTGGCAAAATATTAGGAGGTGGAGGACGTTTCTGAAGAGTGGAAGAGCCACTGGGAACTAATGCGGGAATTGCCATCGATTCCGCTTCATTTGTCTTCCGCGAACCGATTGTGCAGAAACCTTAAACATGATTTATATAAATGATGGTTATATTGAGTTCAAAATGAGAAATATTGTCAACCAAAGTTGGAAATATGAAGAAGGAAGTTCACAAACGTATACACGATTTACTCAAATATTAAAAGTTCTGAAACCGAACATGTTACCCGGATAAAAAGACTGGGAAAAAATTATTCGTTTACTAGAACATCATATTGCGAGCATTCTATCGATCCACAGTTTTTTCCCGGTTTCCAGTTTCGTCTAAAGCAGCTGGGCACTTCTAACTAGCGCTTAAGGTAGAAGGAAACAGTTGGAAAACCATACGGTGAAATTCGTCCCAAATTTTCGCGGTTTTCTTTTTCTCCACTACCATTATGGTTGACTGGACCAGCTTTTTTTATTCTCCATTAAACTGCGTAAATATCGACATCAGGGTTTACAAGCACTTTTCCTGGACATATCAGAGCACTTTTCTTTAATTCTCATTGTCTCACTGTTGCAGTGAGCAAACATGCCTGATAATTCTGTCCAGAAAGCAAGCTTATGACAAAAAGTTACCAAGATAGGATCCGGACAGCAATCTATAACGAACTTAAAAACAGAAACACCGAAAAGACAACCACATAGGGAAAACCTTATGCAATTCTTTATATTCTTGTTGAGCAAACACGAGGTGTTACTATTTCTTTATTTACGCACAAGCTGACGTTTCGTTGGATTTGGCCTTCCTCAGAGCCTGGGAAGGTCAAGATGACAGCAATCTACCCAGCCAACCACCTCCATAACCAAAAAGAGGAAATGCGAAACCAAGATTTCAATCACAATGAACAGAGAATAGCTTCTTCCCACACCGCTTACTATGAGTCTTCCGCTGAATATGTTACGTGGAGACCAACCACACAGAATTCACATAGAAGCGTAATGTGCCCATTCCACAAAATAACAGGCTTTTATACTGCCTAATATCACGCATGATAATGAGGTATTCCTCCCTGTGGTTCATTTTCGGATTTTTGGAATTAATCCAGAAAGCCTCGAGAGTTTGCAATTAGTACTGCTTCTAGCAATTCTGACAGGTGACATGGAATAACTCTGCTACTGCCTTCGTGAGTCAGGCGATGATTTGCGAGGATATCAGAAACTGATTTGGGGTGACTATGAAGTTGAACTAGTCCTTCAAAAGTGACCATCTCTAGAGAAATTCTTCGAAAGAGCAAAAGCGCTCTAGTTTCATAATAGTCACAACCAAATCTCTGTGAGAGCGCAAAGAAAAAGCTCGAAGACGGCATTATTACACCTCTTATCAACTGATCATAGACCAGCTGCCAAAGGAGAGCGAAAACATCGTTTAACACTCATATTCAAGTAGATTTACAGATTTTCCTCACAGAGGTATCGCATGGCGGTTAACTGCGAGGTAACGTGGCGCGCCACCAGACGGAGGGTAGGGGCTAATTGCTGAGTAAAAGCGACCTTCGTTTCGCTGAAGCGTAGATGGATCAGTGAATGGATTCCTTGTTTCTGCTGCGCCGATTTGGCAAATACCTTCTACATTTACGTGGACGTATCCATGCAGGCGTGCTTTGGTGTGTTCTAATTTATATGGATTATATTTTTTCCTCAATTTTCGCGGAAAGGAGAAAAGGCCGCTAAATTCAAAAAACGAAGTCCCAAAACCACCATAAACTGTAACTTAATCAATTCACTAGTCGGCTGTTGAGAAGATGCTGTTTTCGAAAACATCGACGAAGAATATGATAGGCTCATTCAACATCTTCACGTTAGCGCTATGAAATCTGAGAGTTCGAAAGTTACCAAGAGACGTCGGTCATTCGAAACGCTCGACCTGATATGTCAGCGTGGAATCGCACGAGCCACACACAACCGCCAACCGACTTCCGCACTTGCAAAACGATGAAGAGAGGCAGTGAAAGAAGATTTTAAGCCGATATAGGTGGTTCAAGTTAATGGAAATTCTCATACTTCAACACAAATTCTGCTAGACGCAACCTAAGAAAAAGCTCTCCAGCGAGGGGAGTGTGTGGTGACGAAAGCTTCTTTGTTATATGATTGAATATCGACGATTGAAATCAGCTCTTTCATTTTGGAACTACGAACTGTGTTATAGGAAATAGAGTCGCGCCTCAGACCCACCATACAGTATTCTGCAAATTATCCAGAGAGGTGGCTTACAATGAATTAATTAATCAGCATATTTTCATGGGTTTACACACAGAATTAAACAAAAGATACGCAATCTAATAGGACCTGTCCTGGGCCCACCAACCCTCCCATCCCTTTGGTGTCGGAAAATTGGTGCCAGACTTCTTCGGGATCAACCCACTTTCTCAAATATAAATGCGAATACCTTAGCACGAGACTATCCCAGGATTTCGGAAAGAATCAAGTCGACAAGAACTCAGCGATATTCAAAAGGTGGAAGAAAATCCTCAAGCAGCAACCGGACTCATAAGGAAAGGTTCAAATGCTTTCGTGGTGATGGACGCAAGGAAATGAATTAAACATAAGAAGCGACAGGATCCGTAGCGTAAATACGGGTTATGTTAACTGACTAGTACATAGATATATAAATGGTTGGGTTAAATAATTCAGTTGAATCACCTGTGGCTTCATTAATCGTAGAGTAACTCGAGTGGCTATCCAAAAACTAAGGCGCTACTAACTGAACCACCACTCTCAACTCCATTTCCTCTCGTGAAAAGCCTCACACTTTTGGTACAATACCACTCTTAGAAAGAAGATATCTTCTGGAAGCCAGTAGGACTCTGCTGTTGGATAAGTTAAATCTTAGATGACTTTTTTGATGGGAATATCGTACTCTCATCTTACTGAACTATCAACCCCTGCTGTGTGCAATAGCACACCCACAACTTGAAAGACAAATCAGCCACTGTAAAGGTAATAGAACAGTGAATAAAATAAGTGACTGCCATTAACGAATTAGTTAAATTATACGAAAAAGTTCATAGTATAGTTAGCCCGGTAGTGTTCTTACCTCTGACGAACAGTGAAAGCATAAGTGGAAGAAAGACAAGACCATGCAATAGGCCGATCGAAATCGCCAAAAACACCTGAAACAGCGACTTCCAAGCAATATATTTTGGAAATGGAGACATTCTATCTAGGTATATATTTATATGCGTTCCAACGTTAACACATTAGCGACCATACTGCTTAACAAGAACTGATGAAATTTTCTCGATTCACTAGGACAGTCGAGCAGTTGAGGACCTCACAGACTAACTATCGTAGAAAATGCCTTGTTTTATCGCTTTAAGGGGATATATTTTTACTCCATTTGATCCGTTTTCATGCCTAGTGTGCGGACCACAGCACTTCTCACATTCGACTCGTTTCCTGCATCCATTACCACGAAGATTTTCCAACTTCTACGTGTAGCTTCGTTTGCAGCTTGAGGATTTTCATTTCATCTCGAATATTGCTTGAGTAATTCTCCCTAGAGTCCTGAGATAGCCGGACTGGAGCGTTCGTAATTGGATTACAGAGAGTGGTTTTTTCCTAGACAAGTTCGGTACCAATTTCGCTAGCCCGGAGGGATGAAAGGCTTGGTTGACGAGGAGCGGAATCGAGCTAGCACCATACTCGTGACGATGAACATCTTACCACTGTGCTACCCGCCCCCTAAAAGGATATATAAGTTATATAAAATTTGTTCCACTTATAAACTTACTGTTTGGAGTAAAAAATTCCCCAAAAAAGCTGATAAAGGAATTTACACTGTTAAAATTTCCAGAGGAAACACGATAGCAGCGAATACTAACTATACACTAGGGAACACCATCTGTCCTTCTGGATGAAATCCCTTATATTAATTTGCTCTCAAGCACCAAATGTAAGCTTCGACGAAATAAGGAGAAAAAATACGCTTTATAGACTCTCGAAAACCAGAAGATTTCAACCAGGTAGAACCAGAACGTTTGTATCTGATTGGCGAACCTCAATAGATTCTGAACGTCCTTGTTTGAGATAGTAAAGCTCATTTCAGGATGAGACATGTGGGTTTAAACTTGAAAGCCTCCATTATTTCCACAGCACACTAACTATACACGATTCATGTGGTCGCGAATGTGTTAAAATGAAAGCTTTGAAAGAACGTTTCCATTTAATATGGATATGAACGGTTGCCAAAAAGATGTCGAAAGTTGTTTTTCAGTCAATGACTTAAGAAATTCAGAAATCAAAAAATTTCCTTTTAAAGCCAAATATTTGATAGTACAAAAAGTCCTCATACAGTTTTGAAGAACGTGACAATCATGTAGGCGGGCACGTCGGCCAAAACCGCGACCGCTAGTATCGTTGACGCAGCACCTGTAAAAAAATAAAACTGAGAGATGACCGAAACACTGGAGATGCAGATTCCGCAATATCTTGTAGACTTAACATCACTTATGAAATAACCTAATGAGATCGGAAGTTGTTAACGGTTTAGAATTGTAAAAACTTTGATGTGAAAGATGTGCAGAAAACTGCGTGAAATAACTCGATAACTTCGCAAAATGTTCCAAACGACTTACATTTCTCATGTCGCTTTTTCATTTCTTCTCTATTCAACCTGCAGAACTCATCGCAAAACAAAGGGAAACCTAGTGGCAAGTCTTCTCTGAGACCTCCATAGTAAAGAATTATTTGCTAGAAAATTTCAAACAGATAAATTACCTTTCATTTGCAATTTTTGGTGCTCGCTGGTAAGGTACAGAATTCGCGATGGTTAGTTCAATGCCGTGATACGGGAACTTGTTCGGAAGGACAATACACTGCCTTGTTTTATCGGAAGACAAATGCAAGGCATTGCTCTGTGTAAACACGCATTCAACCACCTCTACGATGATATGAATGGAGTCAAATGCACCGCGTATCTCTCAGGGATTGACCAGCGCCAAAGGCTTTCTTCTTCATGTTCTTCTTGTGATTTTACAAACATTCAGAAACAATCAAGCAAATCGACTCCTGACAGATGTTCTTCTTGACTTCGCGTGCTATTCGAACTAACTGAAGCCATAAAATAGTGAAGAACAATCGCAATCCCTCGATTTATCGCCTTCGCAGATTCGTCAAGCTTTAGAATTCGGCTCACTAGCATCACACTACATCGTCACTTCATTAATTGATAACATCATGTGGAGCGCCCTCTGCGGCATAATGTGCCTTAACGTTATATATTCTATCGATTACGCATCCCCAAGCCCTCAAGGTCACACAAATATGAGCCATGGAAATAAATATATAGCAACGATTTGTGACAAATAAAAAAAATTTCAGTTGTAAAGAATATATCATGGTAATTTTCTGAAAACTTGGGAAACATTGGTGGATGAACCCTAGAACAGAAGTTCATGGTATACTGCATCTAATCTAGGCGGTATTCTTTTATTCCCTTCGCCCATTTGCTTGTAAGTTAAGTTTCACAAATGTTACTTTTTCATAAAGCCTACGGCGTTAATCAAAATGTGTCACGCATTCGACTTCATTAAGCATCGAATACAGGTGATTGAAAGCACATTTGGCCATTACAAGGACTTCCGGTGCCTTATCGATGTATGCTCTCCTCGCAGACAAATCTGGTATTAGTTTACCCACCCACGAGAAATGGAGCGCTTATTGAACCGGAGACGTGAGATCGAAAATAATGACCACGTGTGTGGAGCCTTTATCCACTGCGCTACACGTTCCCTACTTAACATTCCTACTACGATGTATTTTAAGGCAAAGTGACAAAAGATGTTTTCAAACCTACTTTTATGACACAACGAAAATGAGTAGAAAGAACAATAATACTAATACCTTGAACGACTGGCCATCCAAGACCGCCAAGAGCATCACGCACCCGCTCGCGTGGATCAGCTTCCTTCGAAATCACATATCCATATGTGATGTGTGCAGAGTAGTCGACAGAGAATCCTACAGACATTATGATGGTGATCATCGAGATAGCATCCTTAAATAGCCAGTTAAGGATGGAATTATGACCACTCGAAACGTGCGCTAGAAGAAGGCGGAACACGCTTCGCCTGCAGGCAACGTCAGCCTAATCCTAAGCCTAAGTCTGAGGTAAACCAATTTCACTGCATTCTTGAATAACCACTTAAACGTCCAGTCAACAATGTGGCCTAGATATCTGGGATCTTCGCTTCTGATACGCAATATAATTTATAAATTTCTTCGCTCTAATTCATCAATCAACAGTTAGGAAACAAATTTACTAGTTTCTATGGACCGTTGACAATAAATTATTACGTGCGGACTGAAGACAATACCGTATACCGCTGCATTTTTACTGCTGATATGAGTCAATTTACATGGTTTCTGTGTAGTGCAGTACTATTCTGATCACCAGTTTGTGTCCGTGTGAACTATTGAGCCACGTCGACATACCAGATTCACATCCCAAAGCGTCATGTACCCAAGAACTCCGAGATCGATTGAGCCGATTGTGAACGCGACCCAAAGGGCGCAGAACGGTTGCGGGATCAGCAGAAAGGCGATGAACAGCATGCAAAAAACCGCAATCACGATGTCTTGTACCTGAAAGAAACGAGAGAGTGTAAGAAGAAGGATAAAAAACGATATGGCCCTCGGCGTTAATAAACCCCTGAGGAATGCGTCATGCATTCGATTTCACTAGGTAACGTTTGAGGTGACTAAAAGCATACCTAACCTATAAGGTGACTCATGGTGGCCTATCGATATACTGAGAACGTGCTATTATTCTCCCAGAGATGTTTGGTACCAATTTGGCGACTTCAGAGGGATGGACGGCTTGGTGAGCCTGAGGCTCGGGAATCAATCTTATGTGTACTGTAGGGCGCCTCTAACCATTGCGCTCTATGCTCCCTGTAGAGTGTGGGATATCTCATAGAATGAAGTCGGATGAGCAAAGCTTAAATCCATCTATCTCTCAAAATAGATACACAGTTTCCTAAGGTATTGAAAATCCTGCAAGAGGTTTCACAGCTTTGTCGCTATGTTTTCCACTTTGTGGAGTTTCAGGTGTAGACTAGCGGCTTTCATATTGTGCTACGTTAAGTGAATTGGTCGTAGATAACTACGAACTCTACTGCTACCTCAATGTTGCGGCAAGCCCATTCGTCAGAATATCACAGAATATCATGCGAAAGCGATGAACTACCCCTCAAAGAGTCGCACTGTTATAGTCGAGTTCCACTAACAAATTTGATGAAGGTATACGAAGCCCATGGCTAATCCAGTGCAAATTTATCGGATACCTAAGAGTTGATTGGTGACTGATTATTAACCTATACCGTATACCACACAATCAGTTATGTTTTTAGCTATCGACATATGTTTTCTTATAAAGGAAATGGAATCCTATAGAAATGGCGATAAGCCATGCACTCCATGAGACTTTAAGGCAATCTAGCCATGCACATTTTCTCTTCACATCTATGTTTTTCTGTCTACCGAACAGAAAATGATTTCACTTACTATGTTCTTTTTCAAGGTTACATTCCACTTAGAATCTTCATTCTTCTTCATTCAAATTGCAGCATTCATGCAATCTTGTTATGTCTCGTCACTTTTCGGATTGGCCACTATTTGCTTTCCTTAGCATCTACGTGAACGCTACCTACTTCCTCCGATCCACAATCGACGACAAACTATGTAATTTGGGAAACCCATAGTCGCTTTTATAGAGTTTGCAGAAGAAGAACACCTTTCTCAGGCAGTAATTAACTAGTGAAATCGGAAATGTATTGAGGCGCTCATGATTCTTCATGCAGAGGTGTCGTTTAAACCTCCATGTAAGTAGAAAAGCATCTCATGTTTTCTAAAACCACACAATGTCCCCATTCCAAAAACAATTTCAGTACACGCAGAAATGCACGTAAAATCCAGAACATAGTGAAAAAGAAAACGATAGAAAAACAAGTAGTGTAATGTTCTTACTGTGTTTGGCACGACCAGATCGTACTGGTCTGTGAAGAGCCAGAGTGGCATGAATGTTGTCACATTGTACTCGGCATATCTTCTAGCGACCTGAACGAATCATAGACTGCTAACAGTACTACACTACTCGATTCTTGCTTGAAGCTAGATCAAATTTTCTGAATGATTGAGACTCATTTTTGGCAGTCTTTAGGTCACTTACTTCGCGAAAACTCCTCGTGGCTATCTGCTGTTGAATAGTACTAGAGATATCTCGCATTCCTATCAAGAACCTAAATTACAATATTCGCCGCCTAGCAACGACTCTACAGACCTGAGAAAGCAGGCAAAGCGATCGAAGTTGAGACTGAGTACGAACATTAATGCGTACTAAGAAAAAACTAATTCGTCAAAACATAATAAAGCATTCCAGTTCTTCAAAATAGCCGGGTTATTTTCCTGGGAGGCTAGTTATTCTAAGAAAGAACGACGCTGGCATCAAAATCTCTATTGCGAGTGTACCAACGTCAGCAACCCAACTTACAAGCATATGCATAGTATAGCGAAGAGGAAAATATTCTCCGCACCTATGACTGAACAACGTTCGTGAAGATCTCGAACAAAAAAATTCCCAATCAATAAACTACTACGGTTCAAGAAAAAAGGTCATCCGACTACCCAAGCATCGAAACAGGTGTACCTAATAGCCTCAGGAAAAGGTTAGGAGGCAAAAAAAATTTATCAGATTCAGATAAATAGAAAATACCTGAATGCATATATGTAAGGCCGATTATGCTTATCTACGGCCCATTTGACATCCTCCATCCATGGGTCGGCGTCATTCGTGTAAAGATAGTGCGCTGCCATCTCGTAGAATGCCTGAGCATCAATGAAAAAATGCAATCGAAAAGTTTTTTACTCTACTGACTTATAAACTTGACAACAATCATAGCGACAGCAATCGTTCCCATAGATAAGAGTATCAGCCTATGGAAAATTACTTTTCTCCTTCACAATCGGCACATTCCTCTTGTGGCTTGCTAACTTTCCCACGAAAAAAAATTGACATTGCGCTCTTTTGCTATTTTCACAAATAAAGTATAAGTAACACATGCCCCTACTGTTACCAACGGTGGAATTGTTCGAAAAGAAATCTGCTTTGATCCCAAATTCTTACACGAATCAGAAACACTACTTATGCGTGGGTATTGAATAAGATGAAGTAAAGGTGCGATCCGTCGTTTTTCCACTTTGTTCTTAATGGTTTTATGTTGTCTTCAAAGTCATCTCCACTGTATATCTACTGTAATAAAGACATCTCTAACTGCATGCTGCAAAAAACAACTGTGGCAGCATCAAAACTCACGTCATCTCTAATGGTGATGTTGAGTTCTGTACGGTAGTATCTTTTCATTTCGTTCATCCAAAACTGGACACTCTGCTCGCCAATTGCTTGTGGTGCATTGGCAAATGCTAACACCATTTCTTCTATCCGGCTTCTCTCATACGGATTGCTTAGATTCGGGGCGTTACTCACCACAATCTGCAATAAAACTATTTTATTTATGTATTTTATCTTTCATTTTATTTACTCCTTTTCCGTGTTTATTTATATTCGACGACTTGAAACGAGGTGAGTCAGAACTGATTCTAAAAAGTGAGCAACATATTTGCTATATTTATATACTGAGGTAGTTAATGGAAAAGAATAGCAATCTTTCCGCTGGAGCTGAAGAAAACCATGAAATAACCGTCTGTCTGAGTTGTTTCCAACCCTAACGTAAGTCTTAGAACGCCGGGCATTAAAATATTTTGCTTGTTAGTGTAGCTCCCTATTTTTGACACACCTCTAACAAGAAATATAAACCGATAATTGGGTGCATCACCTACAATCACGCTAATCACCTTATGACTTCAGAGATCAATGGCAAAGGTTTACAACCAAGATGATGTTAACATGTCAGCAATTGTTGGAACCTCAGGTGAGCTTCGAATCCGCGATTACACTTTCCGGTAGCTCACATGTTATCCATTGCATTATCGAGCTTATTACGTAATAAAACAAAACATTGTGATCTAGACTGCAGCTTCAGGTAAACTAAGTTCAATGCCGATTTGCGCTGACGTGCTGTTCAATGCCACAGCATTTCCACTGACGGGTGATTGCTGATAGCACCATTAGTTTAGGAAACTGCCTGAGACGAAGGGCAAAGAAGCGGCGTCGATGGTGCAGTGGATAGCACGTGAGCCCGGGGAAAGGTTCGAAGCTCCATTGGAGTTTGAAGTTCTGCTCATAACGCGAAATAATTGTCTTCGTATATCCATGGTATCCATGGAAAAAGTAATTGGCAACAAATAAAAAGTTAAACACAGTAAATCATCGTAAATTTGTCGTTTTCTGTCTCAGCAATTGCGTGGTTGTTAAACAGCATACGTTTAACGAATCGAATCTAAAAGACGAGAATATAAATGGTAGTCATACGGTCAACAGCTTCTCGAAAAAAGCCACCGCTTTTTCACCTGTCTTCCACCGAGGAGGAACAGCCGCTCAGAGTCGCATATGGATGACGATTGCACCTCCCCACATCAACATCGATGCGAAGGTACGGGGCGAGATTACGCGTGATCTCGGGACATTCCTCCCTGCTACTCACTGTAGGATTTTTGGCAATTATCCAAAAAGCTCCGAGGAGTTTGTGCGTTGGTGTTTTAGGATCCCGTGCGAGGATAACGACTTTTACATTAAAATCTTCCCCGCTATGCTTTTGTATCCTATGCATAAAACAAGGTACGCCACTAGGGACGAATAGGATACAAAAGCATAGCGGAGACGATTTCGATACAAAAGTCACTATCCTCGCAGGGGATCCTAAAATACCAACGCGCAAACTCCTTCAAGCCTTTTGGATAAGTGCCAAAAAACCTACGATGAATAGCAGGGAGGAATGTCCTGAAATCTCGCCCTGTACCTTCGTATCGATCGTTGATGTGGGGAGGTGCAGTCGTGAACCGTATGCGACTCTGAGCGGCTGTTTTTCCTCGGTGGAAGACAGGTCAAAAAAACGGTTAGTTTTTGAGAAGCCGTTGATCCTCTAATTCTCGTGCAGATTTTCATCTTTTTGTTTATGCTGTTGAAGTGTTTGGCCAAGTAAGTTGCGTGTCCGGCCCACCTTATTTTCGACTGCATGACGCATAGAATGGAATCCTCGATTTTTGATCGTTGACGCAGGTCGGAGCTTCGGATCCCTTCCCTTGTTTGTGTTAAATGCATGCTCCTAGCATTGCCTTTTCGACTGCGCGTTCAATAACGCTGAGGGATCTTTCATCCTGCAGCGTCCAGGGTTCTGACGCATACGTTAAGGCAGGGACTACCGATAAGGTGGGCACGGGGTAAGATGTTCTTTTTTCTCTTAACTATATCCTCGATTCTCTTGAAAGCTCCCCAAGCTGCTCGTTTCCTTCTGCTCAGCTCTTAAGCTAATTCGTGCATCACGTTGATTTCCCGACCTAGATAGACATAACTGGGGCATTCGGAGATATTCGTTCCGTTGAGGGTGAGTGGGGCATACGAAGCCGCTCCTCATGAACATCCGCTCCTCATGAACACCGTTTTTATGAGATTAGTCGAAAACCGATCTTTCCACAGGCTTTATCAAAGTTGTCAAGCATACGTTCCGCCTGGCTAGTGTTTGTTGTTATAAGGGCGATGTCATAAGTAAAACGAAGATGATGCAACTGCCGACCATCGATTTTCACTCCCATATTATGCCATTCCAATGTTCGAATGACGTTCTCGAGGGTGGCGGTAAATAATTTTGGCGAGATGGTATCGCCTTGCCTAACTCCTCTTTTGACGTCAATGTTAATGTCGTTGTAGAGTGGTGGTACCTTGGTTGTGAAATTTTTGTACAGCTCACGAAGAATCTTTATGTACTGAGTAGGGACTCCTTAACTACCGAGGGCTTCCATGACTGCTTCTATCTCATTTAAGTCAAAGACCTTCCTTAAATCGATGAAAGTGAGATAGAACGGTCCATTGTACTGCCATTGTACTTCAATAGGTCTCGTTATCGTGTGGATGTGGTCAATTGTGCTAAATCCTTTTCGAAACTCTGCTTGTTCACATCGCTGCTCTTCGTCCAGTGTTCCATTGTTCCGTTAATCCTGTTCAAGATGAATCGAGTGAATAGTTTTTAGACGGCAAAGAGCAAGCAGATTGGGCGGTAGTTACCGATATCGTGGAGGTCTCCTTTCTCGAACAATAGCACGGTCATGCTGGTCTTCCACTGAGTAGGAACCTCGCATTTAGACAGGTAACGTATGAACAGCCGAGCAAGTGTGTTTATGAGGACTGGCGGAAAGCTCTTCAAGTGTGCAGATCTTATCCTCTCCGGACCTGGTGCTGTTCGGTTTTTCACCGACGAAATAGGATGTTGGATTTCGGTCATATCCATCATCCTTTATATCACATGACGGAAGATGGGCGTGGCTATCGAAGATATCTGAGTAGTATTCGTGAATGATTATCTCCATTGCCTTTCTGGACGCTGTAACTGCTCGGTCTGTGCGTCAGGGTGCAATTATCTTGGTCTTGTAATTGGCTACGCTTCGGTGGACTTTGCGAATGCTTTTCCCAGCCTCTGCAGCTTCGATTATTACTGCTGCTCTTCTTTCTTTAAGATCTTCTTTTACCGCCTGTCTGCATTGTTTTGCAAATTCGGACGTTAGTTTGCGGCTGCCTGCAGCTCGTGCGATTCCATGCTGACATATCAGGTTGAGTGTTTCGGAAGACCGACCTCTCTTGGTGGCTTTCGAACTCTCATCTTTCATAGCGCTATCGTGAAGATGTTGAATGAGCCGATCGTATTCTTCGTCAATGTTATCGACAACGGCATCTTCCCAACACCCGACTAATGAATTGGATAAGTCCCATTTTGCGGCGGTTCTGGGACTTCGGTTTTGGAATTTAGCGGCTTTTCCTCCTTTCCACGAGAAAGAGAATCTTGCACGAAGAAGACGATGGTCTGATCCCGTATAGAATTTTGGGACAACAGCGACATCGGTAAGGAAAACCTATTTACACTGATGTGGTCTATTTCGTTATGATGCTCTCAACTGGGAGACTCCCACGTCCAAAGTTGAAGGTGGCACTTCTAGAATGGCAAGTTACCATGAATGTTCTTGGTTCTCGTGATAAACTCAGATAGCTGCTTACCCTGTTCGTTCCATTCTAATCCGTGGGTCCCAATGTTACGTTCTTCAGACGTTCTTCTTAGTCCAATCTTGGCGTTGAAATCTCCAATGATGACCTCGAAGAAAGTATGGTCTTCTCTGTAGAACCTCTCCAAGTCCATATAGAACGCTTCGACTTCTTCTTCGTCATAGTTTGATGTCGGCGCGTAAACGGCAAATATTATCAAGGCCGGTATTGATCCACATCTTTTTAATCGTAAACGTCCGATTCGGGTTGTTAGTTCCTCGAATAAACCGATGTCCATGGAGAAACTCGTGTTGACGAATAATAACATAAATGTTGTGAATAATAACAACAAATTTCGAAGTAGTGGAAACAAGGAAAATAAAATTCGAATAAATCTCTTCACCTGCAGTGTAGCTCCATAGTGCCAGAAATGTCGTTCCAAAGCGACGTAGTGGGGCTTTGCATAGGAATCGTCAACCTAAACAATAAATGTTGGGGAACAAGCCAGGAATTACAGTAGTTAATGTAAATAGCGAACTCTTCTTTCTAAAGTTCACCCAGAAAAGTTTTTTAAAATTCCATTCGAACAAGAAGCCAAAGAATTTATAAACTATTGATGCTCGAGTAGGAGTTTTCAATTATGCTTATCACAGGATCGTTAAGAGCTCATGAAGAGAGTGTAAGCGATGGTAGACGAAAATCAGAGACAGGCTTACCAAGAGATTAACCGGTTCCAGTCCTTCTCGCAATTGTGTGCAACCGTAGATGGCAAATCCGACGTAAATACAATACCATATTCCGGCCAAAGCTTTGATAGCTGGCTGCATCAGGATAGGCGCATACCTGGTAGAAATATGATCACACTTGTGAAAGATGTTGTTTGAGAAAAGGGATATATTCTGGAATAAATATCCAAAAGCTAGCGTTACAGTTGATACCCAGTTGGAAAGTTCAGCAGAATTCTTAATAGAAGTATTATTAGTAAAGAGCGAGAATCGCACAGTGCACAAGATTTTGAAAGGAAAACATCCTGTTGAAGTACTCTACTACCTAAAGCAATGATATTCGCTTTTCTGTCTTATCATTCGCTCCCATTCAATTTTTCCTAGGCTTTGCAGCCACAACAATACTGAGGAATCCTCAAAACTTGGATCCCAGGCCAGGTCGAATCACGATTTCCCTTTCGGTGGCTCGCTCATTACATACTTCGTCACGAAGGCCATTGTTCTGCGTTTCTATCATCTAGTTCTCTATCTACCAATGCCATCAGCAATCAGCAGTCAATGGGATTGATCTGGGAAGCCCACACTGAACCGAGTTAAGCTGAAGCTGAAATCAAAATTACAATGTCTGCCTTTTTATTCACATCCTACTACAATTTTCACGGCAGGGTATTATGCGAAATTAATCACAACAATGCTGAGATATTCTCAAAACATGGACACAACGCTAGATCGAACCACGATTTCTCTCTTAATCGCAACGTAAGAAACTCTTGCATTTTATGAATCTGAAAGCACAAATCAGATTGCTTCTGATCCAAATTTCGCAAAACAAAAGTGCTTTACCGTGCATTTTTTCATGGATAATCTAACAAGACGCTGATTTAAAACCTACTTTGTGCTATGTCATCAAAAGGGAAAAAGTACATGCTGATCAGCCATGTTGAGGTTAAAGGAAAATCGGTGTTTGAAACAAAATAGAGTCAACAGCCTTAAATTGCGTACCGGCCCATGAATTTGAGCTTGGATCTCCATAGAGTCAAAAGAAAAATCCTACCAGTTCTGGAAAAAGTTCGTAACAGCGCACTGTTTCCGATTGGAAGCATGGCTCGGATCGGGGTGCACTCGTGATCCAAGCCAAAGTAGTCTGGTTGATGGAGACGAAGCAACCTGAATGCATTATTCCTCTTTAGAAACACTGATTTCCGCATTTTTATATTGTTCATTCTTGCTCGATTTATTCTCAGTTGTCATTTAGTGCAGGCCACAAATTTCAGGCTTACTCCTTTCTTTTCCAGTTTCTTCATCTTCTCTTCTTATTTTAATAATAATAACAACAACTATAGTAGCAACAGTGATACTAGTAATAGCAGTAATAATAATGACAGGCGGCAGGCATCCTGGTCAGTGATGCCATGCAATTCACGAATCTCTCGTTCGACCCAACACCAAACTCATCACGCCCTCTATCATTGCGGAGTCGGTGAACTGGTACCAGACTTCTCCGGGTAAAAACCTGTTTAATCCATGAAGGTCCACAACTACTTACGATGAATAAATAGAAGTTTTGTTAGAGCTATCCTTAGATTGCAGGAAGAATTGACCAGTATTCAGCGACATTTATAAACAAAGTCCTTAAGTGGCACCTAACTAACGTGCCAATCCAATGAAATTCTTGGGTGACAGATGTGAAACAACAGACAACAATGAAAGAGGTGTTTGTATCCACACAACATGCGAAGTCAGATCATATGGAAAAATGTCCAAAAAGCAAAGATACCTTAGGACATATGGTAGTTGTCAGCCATAGAGAATGCTTGCCTTCAGCTTCCCACTTGACGGCCAGCGAAAGCAAAGCGCAAAAGAATGTGATCTGTAAGAATTGGTTTAGCTCCAAAAACATGATGGTTCCAATAGTTACTTTTCCTGAGGAAATTCATGAGTTGATTCCGCAGTTCAACATATACTTATCGGCCCACCAACACTGAACTAGTGATGAGTAAGGTGATGAAAAACTCTTGAGAACATGTATTGCACAGTGCCCTACTACTAAACTATTAGGAACCAATATTGTTTTAGATAATGTTGAACTGCTTGCTGAGCAACCTGGTAGAGAAAAGTGAGCACCAGAGCACAGCAAGTGTAGATGCAAAAAATCTGCACTGCTGGAATTGTAGTGATTGTGCCGACGCCAAATGAGAACGCATCTGAAAACCAAAGAATTTTATTTCTTATTTTCTTCGTATTTTTGTTGAGCAAACGCGAGGTGTTATTATTCTTTGTTCACGATTAAGCTGACGTTTCGGCGGATT